GCAACACAGTTGTTGTTTTTACTTTTCCATTAGTGTTGTGATCTTCTTCCAGACACACTCACCCAGGTCATTGAATGTCTGAAAGCCTGAGTCAGGGAGACTCTGTAGAAGAGCCATGCCATCGATGATGTTTGCAGATGGTTCAGCAACATTAGGCAACTGCTGTGTTCCAGTGGCGTTTTCTCCCGGAGGCCAAGGGAAGCCAGGCTTCCCCTGTTTTTTCGGATTGTAGTTATAATTTAAATAAATAAATAAAAACACTTTGTTTTGTTTCGATAATTCTCCTTTGCTGTGTGTTGCTGCCGGTTTTGTTAAAGCTTCTTTATTTAAACTCAGCTGGTGAAGGCAGTGCTCTCGCTCCCGCTCCCGGTAAATGTATTGTTTTGATTGTTAGCAGCAGCCGCTTGGCTAACATCTTGCATGTTTTGTTACAGCTTCTTTATTTAAACTCAGCTGGTGAAGGCAGTGCTCTCGCTCCCTCTCCCTGTAACGTATTGCTCTGATTGTTAGCAGCGGCCGCTTGGCTAACATCTGGCGTGTTCTGTTGAGCTTCGTTGTTTAACTCATCCAGTGAAGGCAGTGTTTTTCGCCCCCGCTCCTGGTAGACGTGCTGCTTGATTCTTAGCAGCAGCCGCCTGGCTAAGCTGCCCCGTTAAGCTTCTTTATTTAATCCAGCTAGGTGAAGGCAGTGCTCTCGCTCCCGCTCCCTCTGCCGGTAACGTGGGTGTAGTTACATCCCTCTCTGTGTTCGGCGAGTAGGAGCATTGCTCTACTCTTTCCGTTCAGTAGGTAGCCGGTGAAGGCTGTGTTCTCGCACCCGCTCCCGGGTACGCTGCACCTGGCATTCGTTATGAACTCAACCAGTGAAGGCAGTGTGCTCGCCCCCGCTCCTGGTAGACGTGTTGCTTGATTCTAGCAGCAGCCGCACGGCTAAGCTGTCCTGTTAAACGTCTTTATTTAATCCAGCTAGGTGAAGGCAGTGCTCTCGCTCCCGCTCCCTCTGCCGGTAACGTGGGTGTAGTTACATCCCTCTTTGTTTTCGGCGAGTATGAGTATTGCTCTACTCTTTCCGTTCAGCAGGTAGCTGGGGAAGGCTGTGTTCTCGCGCCCACTCCCGGCTACCTATAGACTGGCTCATTCATGTAGCACCTGTATGGCTTCTCTTGAGCCCGAGGACGGCCATGACCGCTGCCCCCCTCTGCCTTGGCCTCGAGCATTTGAGGGAGGGTCTCACGCAAAGCGCCTGCATGAGCTGTAGATTCATGCCTCAGGCGCTCAGAGTAGTTAGAGTCGCAGAGGTGGCACCTCTCCTCGTCACAACTTCCTCCAGCTCAGTCTGACCGTTCCCGGCGACTTGATGGAGGGATGGCTATGGGTTCACCCCCCAGGTAGAGGGCTAGAAACAGGCTGTCCTCTAAGGTGGGTCGATTAGCTGCCGTCATGGAGCAGACGAAGTCGCTCCTGTTGGCCCTTCAGCCAGGGGCCGGTGCGGGGGCTACTAGCTTGCCGCCTGGCCCTCCTTCGGTTGCCACACCTCTACTTGAGGATGCCATGTCGCTAGCGGCTCCGGACAAACCTCTTCTATGAAGGGGGGAGGGGGGCCCCGCTCACCCCCGAGGAGGCTTCCCACTCCTCTGCTCAGAGCTCTTTGCAGGGCACGGAGGACGCCTTCATGGCGGCCATTATTCGTACAGCCCTGGTACGCTTGCAGCTTCAGGTTCCGCAGGCCGACTCGGCTCAGGCTAGCGCCTTTTTCAGGCATAACCCTGCCCCTTTTCACTCCCACTGTTCCTCCTTCAGAGGAGTATCTCACCATGACTCGCGCATGAATGCACGTGCACGGTGTGGCATGACCACCAAACAGAAAGATATGGACACAAGATGTGTGCAAATGTATTTAGTTTCCTATCCATGTGGACATGATTTAAGTGGGGGGGGGGGGGGACCTAACCTCCTCTAGGGGGGTCCGGGGGCATGCTCCCCCGGGAAGATTTTTTTTTAAATATTGAAGTTAAAAGCATCAATCTGGTGCACTTTGAGAGCACCATGAAGAGATCTATGGAAACATCTCTCAACACCCAGATGAAACAGAACTGTAAACAGATTTACTTTTTCTTTATGGATATTTTACAAATCACTCCCCTTTAACTGTCATATAGTATTTTATACCTGTTTACTTTATTCTCTTATTTTTTGATAACTATAATGATCATAAAGATGTGGCTTTACCTCACTGGTTGGAGAAAAAGCTTCTTATATTCGTTAGCATAGCTAGCTAACCAGATGCTAATAACAACAAAGCTATTGACTGTATGATCAGTATGACAGATGAGCAGATCGCCACTGGGCTTACAACTAAAGACACGCAGAAACTGCAGCATGTGTACGGCTCCTTATGGTACGGACTTATGCCTACTGCAATTTTTTGAAGTCCCGGAGCCGCGTTCTGGTGCTCTCCGTCAGAACTACACCCCTGTCAGACGAGACATATACCACGTGATGACACGTTAGGCTCGTGTTGTGTTCAAGGACCATGACCATTGCCAGGAAAAACAAGCACTTGCTTGTTTAATTATTTTGCGGTCTAGATTTCTTTAATTTTTTTCTTTTTTGCGTGTGTTTATAAATTACCTCGAGGGCCATACCAAATGGTCTCGCGGGCCGTATACGGCCCGGGGGCCGGAGGTTCCCCACCCCTGGTCTAGGGAATGGGGACGAGTTATGTCCTTATTGGTGCAGACTCGTCGCCAGGTCTGGCCTACGACCGTCCCAGAGACTCTCGGGGACGGTCGTCGGCTGATTTCCCAGCAGCAGCTCAGTTACTGGGCTGTCTGTACTTCCGACCCGTGGGTGGATTTCACTAGGGATGTCCCGATCTCATTTTTTAGCTTCCGATCCGATTCCGATATTTTCATATAGGTTCCGATCCGATCCCGATATTTCCCGATACCGGTTTTTCGATACCGATTTCACTTTTTGTGTTGGCAAACAGCATTTAATTTCGTATACATTAAGAAATAGACAGGCACCCAAGCTGTGCTCAATAGCTTTTATTCTCTCGCTATCACAAATAAGAGCATTTTTTTTTTTGCAATAATAATTTTAAAAAAACGTTACTATCCAACATAAAGTACCCTTTACAACTCAAAAGGTTACTCATTTAACAGCAGTAAATACAAGTAAGCTTCACTAAACTTTACTTCTTGGAAGTAAGTAACCATAACTTAAAAATCTTTGCATTAATTGTACACATAAAGTAAACATAACATACACAAAGTTTTGGTTACTTATTTGAGACAACGAGTTTCCACCCTTTTTTCAAGTAAACTGAACTTATTATTTTTCAGTGTGGGTAATTAAGGGATCTCAGAGACATGTAATCACTAAACTTAAACATAAACATTTTTACAGTGTAATAGAGCTCCTTATTTCCTCCATCTTAATCTACTGCACTGACTTCTTCAAAGTGTAGTGCAGGTTTTTTTTTATGAAAACCAACACCTGCACCTTATCGGCTGTCAACCGGTTCCTTTTTTCATCAAGGACATTTGACACTGTACTAGGGCTGTGCAATTAATCGTATTTTAATCGCGATTACGATTATGGCTTGCGACGATTATGAAAACAGCATAATTGACAAAATACGATTATTTTGCTGGGTGCGCTTTCGCCCCTCCCTAAAAGCCCACTCGGCCACGTGGGAGTGACATGTGTTGTGAGTGTTCAGCGCGAGCGAAGATGTCAGAACAAGAGCAGCAACTCGTTAAAAAGAAGGGTCAAACTATTTCCACTATTTGCAAGTACTTTGGCTTTCAGGAGTCCGACGTGGAGCAAAATAAAGTACAGTGCAGGATTTGTTACCAGGTTGTGTTGGCACCACACGCTAACACAACCAATCTCTTTAATCATCTGAAATACAACCACAAAGTGCAATACGACCGGGCAGTAATACAACAAAAAGCAGATGCCCGCTCGACTTCATCCACCACATCATCACAGTCATCGATTCAGGACGCATTGTACAGAGCAACGGCCTACGCGACGAGCTCGCAGAGACACAGAGATATTACAGGTGCCATTACATTTCACATCGCTAAAGATATGTGCCCAGTTAGCACTGTTAGCAACCAGGGCTTTAAGCAACTTGTCAACACGTTGGACAAGCGTTACGCGATGCCGTCTCGGTATTATTTCAGCAGGTCTGCGCTGCCTGCACTATATGACAAATGCCGTGGGGAAGTTGAAACAGATGTGGCTTCAGCTGACTACTTTGTTACCACAACAGACCTATGGTCTAGCCCAGGGGTGCCCAACCAGTCGATCGCGAGATGTGTCTAAAAATAGAACAACAATATTCTGTTTTATGTCCTGTAACATAATCTTCCTGTGCCAGAATAATGCACTTGAACGCATCAAAGCTTTGTGATTGGCCGGCGTCACCCCATGTGTCGGGGCGTGGCTGAGGGTCTTCAGTACAGGTGGCAATATCGTCACCTGCCTGCGCTCATCTCTGAAACTAGACCATGTAAACAGGCTGTTGTTTCTTGCTAAGCATCTTTAAGAGATGACATGAGCAGTCCTACCAGCATTTGCCATGGTGGCCTAAACATTTTTATTTGGTCTTAAATTGTAGTTCAACATTTATTTCCTGTTACTTCTGGACCATGACGGTTGGCCAGCCTTCAACGTTTAACTGAGTGGAATATGTTGAATATGTTTTACCAAAATGTTGGCTATATGTTAAGGAGTTTTCAGTAGGTTGTGACAGTGCACTGCATCATATTTGATTTAGGTCTAATTTATTTTTATTTATCATATTAATATATGTTTAGTATGGTTTTGGAAGTGCGCTCCAACATATTTGTTGATCTTGTTTATTGGTCAAATATTATTTGTTTTAAAGTTCAATAAATGGTCAATGAATAATCGTCAAGATAATCGTGATATCAATTATTGACCCAAATAATCGTGATTATGATTTTTGCCATAATCGCACAGCCCTACACTGCACTAAACAGTCTCTCACTGTCCACCGATGTACAAGGTGCACAAAGAAACTTCATGGCTGTATCAGCCAGTGTGGGTCGCTGTGTAGCATGTGCCCGCCAGTAGTGTAGAGGATTCTCTGACCTTGGGATGGTTTGTTCAGCCAGGTAGGCCTCCACCTGAGTGACGACTGCTGACGTACTCACAGGCCTCGACTCCACCACATTCCCCTCCAAGATCTCGTCATATAGACTGACAAAGCTGCTGTTTGCAGCTGCACAGCCTACACCGCCTCGACGTGGTGACTTTCTTGGAGGCTCTTCTGCAGACACCTCACTGCCAGCCTTCCTCTTTCTCTCCATGATCTCCACCTCTCTAATGAGAGCCTCCTTGGCAAGCTCCTGGTGGTCTGGACTTGTGAAGAATCTGAAAATGGATAGAATTTCATTTAGTTAAAAATTATTATTTGTTTCCTACCATATGTTGTCGTTCCCTTAGCACAGGGGTGGCCAACCCGCGGCTCTCGAGCCGCATGCGGCTCTTTGCCTAGTTTCATACGGCTCTTCAGTTCATATCGAATTGTAAATGTGTGAGTTTGGGGGAGAGACACTGACTCCTAACTAGTGTTGCACGGTGTACCGATACTTGAAAGGTATACCGCGATACCCTGCCGTTAAAAACGTTACGATTCTTAGGCCTATCGGTAGGCCTACTTTAAGAATGACGGGGGAAAGTACTCCGGTGAGAAAGCGCCGTTTTAATACGAGCCGTGTGTTCAGCGCTCTGCTTCCAATCCCTGCACTGCAGCCGTGCCTGCAGTCCCGCCCCTCTCAAGCACGTTCTAAGTCCCTCCCCTCTCTCAGCCACGCGCTTGCTGCCAGAGCATGTGAGAAAACGAGAAGCATGGCTGCAAGTGGGAGTGCAACTGCCGCTGCGCCTCGGCTTGTTGACAAAAAAGACGCCAGAAGCGACATTTTGATGTATTTTAGCTATATCTCTGACAGTGAGGGCAAGCCTACGGACACCACGAGGCCTGTCTGTAAGACATTTATTAATTTTATTTAATACGAATTCTTGTCATTTATTTTATTTATTGTTCTCATTGTTTACAAGGTTGTGTTATGGTTATGGTTCTGGTGTGAAATAAAGCACAATAATTACATGTAAGACTGTTTCCCTTTTTTAAAGAAAAGTATCGAAAAATAATCGGAATCGCAATTCTTGACTTGGTATCGAAACCAAAATGTTGGTATCGTGACAACACTACTCCTGACAGTTAAACCTGATATTTAGTAGGTCTGTTAAGTATTGAATGTTGATAATTCTGACATAATTTGGCCGGTCAAAGTTGTTTGGGCTCGGATAAAATCGCTCCGTTATTTTCGTCCCGTGTTACTTTCGTCCCGGCTCTCCCCCATCTCCCCACGTATGTGTGGTGTCAGGTGTCAGTAGGAGAGGATGACAGCGCGAGCGCGTCTAATTTTGATGTGGCCCAAGAGCCAATCACAGTAATACCTGTGATGCAGTGAACCAATCACCTTTGAGGGGGGGGAAACCTATCGTTGATTAAACACTATCCAGTGTTTCCCCTACCATTGTCTTGGAGGGGCGCTGCGCCCAAAAAATATATATCATTTTTTTTTAAATATATATATAGCACCAAATTGCAAATAATCTATAACTACTGTCACTTTCACATTGAACATGTGCTCTTTTATTAAATAAACTAAACGCTTTCATTTTAAGTTGTGAGTTTAGTGTTTTTGACCCTAAAAAACACTGATGCATTAATCAATAACAATAATCCACAGCTCCTCTCTCTGCTCCAGAGGATTTAAAAAATATATATCCCAATGCCACAAAAATGCATCAGTGACGTGGTTGAAATCTTGTCTACAGAAAACAAAAAACTGAAACAAGCGGTATCAGTGACTGTGTGTTTGATGTGGCTCTTTGCAGTAACATAGAAAAAATGTGGCTCTTAACCTCTGACTGGTTGGCCACCCCTGCCTTAGCATATCAAAGTTATTGTTGTCAATGTCATAGAACAACATTTGGAACATTTATTTTGATGTTATTTGATAATTAATAATCAAGTGGTGAATTGATTAGGCCTGAGCAATTATATATCGCAAAATAAGTTTTGAATCAAACAGGACTTGCCTATCTTTGTATCTTGGGTCAACCAATGTAGCAACGGAGTAGATTGGTTCAGTCTCAGCATAGTCGAAGCGCTCAGTGATAGCCTCAAGAGGTGTTCTCTTCATAGTCTTGATTCCAGCATCTGTGCTCTCTTCACAGGAAAGATGACGCTTGAGGACAGTTATTGCAGGGATCACATCCGCGGCACTTGCAGTCGCAGCACTCACTGCCCTTGTCAGCTCTTCAAATGGACTCAAGACCACAACTGCCTTCTCCATAAGCGCCCATTGGTTGGCAGAGGGCATGCATGGAAGGTCGTGATCCGCTGCATAGACACTGAGCGGCCTCTTTTGCTGAAGAAGGCTCTGCAAAATAAGTAAATAACATTCATGTGTAAAATACAAGTAGAACTATATACCTCACATCTAAATGTATTTATTTAGGCTGATTCACATGTAAAAAAATCTATTCATTCTTTGCATTCATTCCTTCCATCCATATAGCCTACCAGTATCATGTACTGAGTACTGTTCCATCTGACTGACACGTCCTGCTGGAGTCGTTGTGTTGGCATGTGCAGGTCTTTCTGTAAAGTAATAATAATGATAATAATTCAAATAAATCAGCTGTGTGTTTCTAGTAGGCCACTCAAAATGCTTCTATATTTAGGTTAATTATTTGTTGGCTAACATCCTTTCAACACTAGTGTAGCCTAATGATGGATTGCTTTACAATGACATGACAGGGAGGGGGGAAAGTGCAATTACTAAAAAGATAACATACTACTACTACTACTACTACTACTACTACTACTACTACTACTACTACTACTACTAATAATAATAATAATAAAATGATAACCACCTGAATGTCTTCGAGGATGGAGTAGGCCTTTGGGGAATGCTTAAAATGACCCACAAGCTTCCGTGCGTTGGCGACAGCATCGATGATGCTTCGCTGGGCGAGAAGGCCTTGGATGACCACGAGTTGGAGTGTGTGTGCGAAACAGCCCAGGCTCTGCACCCCCATGTCTGCAAATGCCTACAGTCGAGAGATTGGGAGAGAGGATGATGGCGAGAGATAGATAGATGAATATCAATAGCCTATTGATACTGGTCAGTGAGGAAAATAAGCAGTCAATGTCACAATAGTATCAAATAGAGTGCAGCCATCTGCTGGTTGCAAAACTGATAGCAGTGTATGTAAGTCAATGAGAGGTAACGTCTTTACCTCTCATTGACTTACATACATTTCTGGACTTTCCTTAACTTATTAAACAAACCTCGGGAAATTTCCATAACATTTGTGAGTAATTTATACACTATGGTCCACCATCTGCATGATACCTCCAAACCATTATGATCTGATGAGACTTTTGAGATGTTAACATCTCAAAAGTTGCACTGAATATTTTTCCTGTTGATAGGTAGTCTCTCAAAACTAGCTGTTTTGTCATTAATATGGTAGGCTACTTCCAAGCCTAACAAACGTATTGAAAGCCTGTAGTCTTAGATAAGACATAAAACAGGATATTAATGTTTCGTTGTAATTCTTTGCTGTCGCAATAACAACTAGTGCTAGTGGCTAAGCTGACGTGAGTTAGCTGACAACAAGCTAGGCTAACTTTTCTGCTAGCCTGTTGACGTGGTTGCAGGGGCGGATCTAGACAAATATTCATGGGGTGGCAAGAGGGTGGCAGGAGATTTTGAGGGGTGGCATTCCCTGGCAGAAGTATATGCTGATTTAAATCGCAATCATATCAATCAATTAGGGGTGTAACGGTACACGTACCCGTACTGAAATTATTCGGTACGGGCCCTTCGGTTTGGTACACGTGTGTACCGAACAAATATAGCGTTAAACGTAAAAGATTGAGAACATGAACAACTTTCTGGAAGTAATCTCAGGTATATATCATAGAGCGACCAAGTCATTTCATTGGACGAGAGGCATACTATGAGAGCTGGTCACAGGGATGCGTTCAAATGTAGTCAGTAATTTGAGGAACTGTCGAAATGGCGAACGCAGATAAAGTTGAGCTCGAAAATCCTCCAGCATCATTGAAGTCTCCGGTTTGGGAACATTTTGGTTTCGCAGTTACGTACAAGGATGACGGACAAAGACAGGTGGACCGAACCAAAGCTGTTTGTCGGCATTGTTCAACTAAAATTGGTTACGCGGCTGGCAATACATCAAACTTGCACTCATATGAAAAGGCATCACCCGAACGTGAATATCACCGGTACCAAAAGAAAAAAGACTGAAGTGCAAACCCAACTCCCACTAGCATTTAAGCCTCCACCACTCGCAAAAAGTTCAGACCGAGCCAAAGCTAATAAAAACGCCAAATATCCTTATGTTGCCATGTTAGCAAAGCGCTACCTGGCTGTATCTGCTACCTCTGTCCCTAGCGAGGGTGTTCTCCACAGCAGGAGACATTATTAGTGCCAGCAGATCTGCCCTTTCGGCAAGCAATGTGGACAAGTTCATTTCTCTTTAAAAAAACATGAAAATACAATGACAAGCAAGTCCTAATGTCAAACTGGCTGCTTAGGTACTAGTACAGTACAGTTCAAATACAGATTATTTCAGTTCATCGAAATGCTGCACCTTAATGTTTATTTTATTATATTTTGTATTTATTTGAATACATTATTCACAGTTTAATAATAATTAACAAATATATATTTAATGTTTTGTGATAATTTTTTCTGCTGTACCGAAAACGTACCGAACCGAACCGTGACCTAAAAACCGAGGTACTACCGAACCGAAATGTTTGTGAACCGTTACACCCCTACAATCAATATTAACTTGGAAAGGCACAATATTAATATTTTAACTCAATGACATAGGTGATATTATTGTGGCACATCAGTAAAGCCTTACATATGCATATATAAGGTGGCAGACGTAATTTAATGAATTTTAACTGAATGAGTTGGTTTCACTCTTAGACCAGCAGGGGTACCAAATATATGAAGACTGCTGCAATAAGTATATTAATTAACTGTCTCATCGATGTTTGTCTGAATGAATATGATACTATTAACAATCATATTATTCCTATCAGCTGTCAATCACTGTTAATAAATAATAATAATAATAATAATAGATTTAATTTGTTAGCGCTTTTACAGGTGCTCAAAGACGCTTTACAGATATAGTGAAGAACTGTTATGATTCACATATTCACTTATTATTGAATAAACTATATTTTTTGGAGGAGTTAATGATGAATGTTCATCAAGATGCTTGCTCACCCTCCTTCAAATTTGAAAAACAAGTAATTATATCATTATTGATATACAGTTACAACCTTGACTTTGCATCAGAAAGAACAAATATTAAAGAAGTGACTAACTGCATCAGTTGGGGTTAAAAAAACGTGTATTCAGCTAAAACATATACATCGCTGCAGTAAGTTATTGTCCAGTGGAAAGTTCTTACCTACTGGCCTAGTTAAATCAAAGTGGTTACTTTTTTTTGTCTGGGCAGTGTAGTTTTACACACCGTCTTATTTTACTTTCTCAGGACTTAAAACAGTTTTTTGGGGGCAGACCTCCACAAATAAAAAAATATATACACGCATACAATGTCATCATCTTAACAGTTTTGTATGCTCATCGAGTCATCCGTGAGCAGAGCATGAAGTTGGCATGCCTATTACAGCTGAATGCGGCGATTACCATGTTGTTCAGCAAAACGCCTCACAAACTTATTAAGATCTAAAGCTTTAGTGCGTTTTGATTCAATGCTGAGTGCAGCCAAACTTCACAGTCTCTTCTCTGTCATTGTAGACCGCAACTACCTCATTCCTTCCGTCTACTTGAGTCCGAAAGGCTTCTCGTTTTGCGCCGTCCCCCCGTTCAAGTGAATTCGCCACCAATCATATTTCCACTCTCGCGCCAGGGACGGGGGAGGGGTTACAAGACTCGCGTCTTGTGCTGCATTCACTTGCACTCGGACATTAGAGATTTTCTCTCATAAATGTCCGATGAGCCACAACTTTTCTTTCAAAACAAAGATGCCAACTGGGGTGGCAAGGCTATTGTTTAGGGTGGCAGTTGCCACCCCATGCCACCCCGGTAGATCCGCCCCTGCGTGGTTGCCGTCTAAAAGACACGTTATCTAGACATCATTTTAAATAAATCCAGGGCACACGTAATTATAATTAGGAATAGGGAACATGTAATATACATCCAGTATATCATGTCAAAATCATCAAATGGAAGTTTACCCCATGACCATTCATTAAAAGATGCTGTTGACGGAATTAGCATGAACTTTACTGACGTGGGTAATGCGTAGCTAAACATCAGTGGTCAATAACAAGAAGGCTTACCTTCTTCATGTTGGCGGCGTTGTCCCTCATAACAACATGCACCTTGTCATTATCGATGTCCCACTTGGCGAGCATCTCTTCTATAGTATTCCGGATACGCATTGAAGTGTGAGAGCCACGCAGCTCACTTGCATGTAGCACCACGTTGTGCAAAGTAAAACTGGAGTCTATCCAGTGGGCGGTCAGACTGAGGAGCGACATCGGGGCTACACTTGAACTCCACAGGTCTGTGGTGAGGGCGATTGAGGTAGCCTCCTTTAGGTGCCGCTGCACTTGTTCACGCACCTTGGTGTGCAGGGCTGGGATGCCTTTTTCAACAATGTAATGGCGGGATGGCATCCCATAGCGCGGCTCGAAATAATTTATTAGACGACAAAAACCGGAGTTTTCCACAAGTGAAATTGGCTGGTCGTCCCCTGCTATGCACTCCACAATCAGCTCAGTAATCTTACGAAATCTCTCGGAGTCTCGAGGAAGTAAAGCCTTTCGTTGCAAGCTGTCCCGCAGTGTTTGTTGATGGAGTCCATCAGTCGCAGACGCTGTCGCTTTACAGTAGGCGGCGTGTTCGTCGGGGTGGTGCTTTTTAAGATGTTTTATTAGGTTTGTGGTGTTGTAGGAGACCCTGTTAGCACCACCTCGTGAGACTTCCACACCACAGACTTTGCATGTCGCAGTCGGCGACTCACTTGTAGTTATTTTAAAATGATGCCAAACTGCAGACATTTTAACTAGCTAACGATATGTGTCCGTTCCACTTTTCCAACTCGATAATGGCGGCTGATGCAATAGAACAACAACGACAAACAACGTAACAACGGAATCATGGGAAATATTAACTATGGATCGGACATGACATTTAATTGGATCTGCTGATCCCGATCCACCTTAAAACCAGGGTTGCCAACTTTGGGTACCTGGCTGGAGTGAGATTTTGATATCATGGGTTTAATTACACATATGCGCACGAAATGACTGCTATCGTGTCAGCAGCGGGACCTTAGCATATATATAGGATATATTACATTACATTACATTGCATTTAGCTGACGCTTTTATCCAAAGCGACTTACAATAAGTACATTCGACCAGGAAGACACAACCTTGAAGAAAAAATATATATACAATATATACAAATACACAATATTGGACACAGACAATTCTGGCCAAGGATTTAGCCGTACACCGTCTAGGTGTTGCTAAGCTTCCTGTACTGAATATCATAGTCTATTGCCTTAATCAATATCTAGTCAACTCTAAAATACCACATATATGCAATGGCATGATAATATTATTGTGACAAGTGGGGTATTCACATGGTGTTTCCAGAAATTAGACGTAGATGCAGCCAAAATCGACGCAGTCTGTAAAGGCAATCCGACAACCCACACAGCTCTAGTTTACGCTGGTAACGACCTAGAGCACACCCCTCAAATCCAGAGATGTAATCCGAAGACATGCAGCGATTTCTTCGGTCGTTAATTCAGAAAAAAAACCTAGTGCGCTCTGCCTTGCTACGTTAGGTAGCTGTTTATATTTGCACTTCCAGGATATTTGCACCTCCATGAAAATGGCGTATTTATATATATATATATATATATATGGCGCGTGTTGCATTGTGGGTAGCTCGTGACGTCACTGTGTGTGAAAGAATAAAGGGCACACAGTTTCATTCACTAATGAAAGTCAAACACATGTTTGTTTCCACTGTTTTATTGTGTGCCTGTCGCGATAAGCAATTAATTGACTTATTGTACGATAAATAAAAATGAACTCGATAAATTGCCATTTACATGAGGATGTGACTAGCCGTTTGAAAGGATGTACTTGAATTACTGTTATATATTATCATTATGTCAGTGGTCTAAAATGGTCATACAACGGTGCCGACAATATTATCGTTTATCGCAATAATTTCCGGGAAAATGTATCCAATTAATTAATTATCGTGAGAGGCCTATACATGAAACACACAGACAAAAACAAATCTACAGACTTACTCCAAACTGCCAAATATATTAATTAACAGACTCTCACTCTCATATACTCTTTGACTGTATTTTGGCCTAGTAGAACAATAAGCAGTAGACTTTTACTTTTTGATCATTTCTACTGGATCTTAGATCTGCGCATGCGCAATGCGGGTCGGCAGTTGCGGCTCCAGAGTATTTTTGTTGAGTAATCTATGGTAGGGCTAACCCATACAGTGCATGGTGGGGCTCAAAAAAGTATTTGCAATGTAATTACATACACACTCCCCTTGACAGTGAAACGCCACGCGTGAGGTTTAGATTATTTCCCTGTCTCAATCCAAATTGAACTGTATGAAATAAAAAGGCACATTTGTCTTGTAGTAAATAAAAAGGGCGACCTGGAGCCAATCCTGCAATTTCCCCACAGGTGAAAGAGTTGACATGCTGAAAACCCAACCCCTGCAGGGGGGTCTGGGGGGATTCTCCCCCAGGAGATCTTTTGAAATACTAACATAAAATACACATTCTGGTACTCTCTTGAGAAGACAAATAAATAAATGTATTACTACATGACATATTTAAAAAATGAATGCCATTTTAGTTTTGTGTTACTTTGTTCTGAAAGCTGAACCTGCTGCTCCTCACAGAGAGAAGAGGGAAGAGGCTGTGTGAATGACTTTACATTGTGGATCCGCAATGTAAAGCCTCTTCCCTCCTCTACCCTTATCCATAAGGGTGGATAGCCCCCATTGTTCTGTGTGTCAAAATGAAAGACAGCCCACACACCTATCAATCATCAAACCGTGGGGTCTTATTTCATTACGTGTTGATTTCTATCAACACGTAATGTTGTATGACTTGTATCGATGTATATAGAGATGTACTACAGCAGAAGTATTCTCGGTCGGGACTTCCTGCAACAACACCACGCCGTTATCTTGATTCTGATTGGCCAGAAGACATTATCAAAGATGCTCTATTGAGAAGACGATCACTACGTGACAAAAGTTTTCAAAACCGTTTCTTGTCTTCGGTATTATTGTTTTTGGCGTGAGAATAGTTTGGGCAGTGTGAGAGTGTGAGATTGAGAGTGAAAGCGTGTGTCACACGCCAGATGCGTGAGAGTTGGCAACCCTGTTAAAACCCAGTATCGGGGGCCGATCCGATCTGGGGATCGGGATCGGGACATCTCTAGTTTTCACCTTAACCCAGGGGTACGAACCGCAGTTCCGGCCCCTAGCCTTCGGCTGGGCCAAAATGACAGTCGTCAGCGATCCGGCAGGCCCTAGCTCTGGCCCAAGAGTTGTCCGTCCTTCTGTCCAAGGACATAATCGAGCCAGTAGACCCTCTGCTTAGCCCAGGGGGTTCTACTCGGCGTACTTTCTCGTGAGCAAGAAAGTCGGCGGATTTCGCCTGATCTTGGACCTCAGAGGAATCAACAGATTCCTGAAGGTGCTGCCACTCTATATGCTGACCACAGCACATGCACAGCCGTGGAATTGAGGGATGCCTACTTCCACGTGGGCTGGGCAACGTGGTGCCTTATATTCAGTTCCTTGGGCCCGCTGGCGTTGCGCCCCATGCAGATGTGGCTGAACAGCCTTCACTTGGACGCCAAGTGGCACAGGTGCAGGGAAGTCAGGGTGTCGCAGCGTTGCCTCCACTCTCGGTCACACTGGAGGGGCCTACCTCCTGATGGGCGTGCCCATGGGCGCCATCCCATCCCGCCAGGAGACCGTCACTATAGGTGCAGGTCTCTCAGGGTGGGGTGCAGTACGGCAGGGCAGGACCGTTCAGGGTCAGTAGTCTGCCCAGGAGGGTGCACGCCATGCCAACGTGCTAGGGCTGTGCAGCTTGCACTCACGCACTTTCTACCCCTACTGGGGGGCAAGAATGTGCGTGTTCCTTGGGACAGCAGGTACGCTGTTGCCCAGACAGCAGTCCTTTCTAGACAGTGGGCGTTCTCACTCCACTCTGAATTTATGTGGCTGCTATTTCTGCCCGACATATTCGGGTCGACGGTGCCACGGCGGGGTGCCACAGGTCGGTGTCCCTCTTCCTGAGAGGGGCTTTACGGCAGCATCCCCGTAGCACCCCGAGGGCTCCGGCTTGGGACCTGCCCCTGCTGCCGGATGCCCTATCATCTCCTTCCTTCGAGCCCCTGGCCCAGGTGGAGCTTAAGTGGCTGTCCTTAAAGGCAGCATTTCTGCTTTCCATGACCTCAGGGAAATGAGTTGGAGAGCTACATGCCCTCTCCGTGAGCGATACATGCCTGAGGTGGAACTCCGATGGCTCGGGTGTTGCCCTCTGGCCGAACGTGGCGTTCCTGCCCAAGGTGCTTCCACTAGCCCACTCCAATCGGCCTATCCAGCTGGCGCGCTTTAACGTCCCACAGGAGAACGGCACGCCTGAGTTGCTGTGCCCTGTGCGTGCCCTAGAGGCGTATATTGGTGCTACGGCCCATATACGACAGTCAGAGCAGCTCTTCATTTGCCATGGCGGCACGAGAAGGGGCTGTGTTCTCTCCAAGCAGCGGCTGTCCCACTGGGTTGTGGATACAATCTCACATGCCTGTGGGGCCAGTGGCCGCCCCCCACCATCAGGGGTGAGATATCACTCTACAAGGAGCATCTCAACGTCTTGGGCTGCCCTGAGAGGGGTGTCCCTGGAGACCATCTGCGCTGCGGCGTCGTGGGCATCGTCTGGCACATTCTCCAGGTTCTACCGGGTCAATGTCGCCACTCCCCATCCTTTGGGCGTGGTCCTTTTGCCGAGCTCCGCTGCTTCCAGCTAGGTAAGCAAGTGTTCGGATTCTTCATGACATGGTTGGTATAGTCATCCAGTGCTAAAAGCACCGCCTCTGGCGGTCAGTAGGGACGAAATAGAACGATAGTTACGGCTGTAACTACGGTTCTATGAGTCCCGGATGACCGCCAGAGTTTCCGGTCACTCAGAATTCTTGTGTGCTCGCGAGAAGATTCTGGGAACCGATCCACTAGTGACGCCGGCCTATGTAGCCGTAGTCACGTGGGTCACAGGTGACTTTGTTGTTATTAGGTACTCGAACTGCGCATGCGTGCAATGGACATATCCAGTGCTAAAAGCACCGCCTCTGGCGGTCATCCGGGACTCATAGAACCGTAGTTACAGCCGTAACTATCGATATATTGCACATGTTTGCTGTAATTCATTATCATACTACATGGGCTGTATGATTAAATCTTGTACCGTAAATGTTGTATTAAATAAAGTTAATATTACTTATTATTATATATATATATTAGGGCTGTCAAACGATTACAATTTTTTATCAGATTAATCACAGCTTAAAAATTAATTAATCATGATTAATCACCATTCGAACTATGTCCAAAATATGCCATTTATTTATGTATATTGTTGTGGGAATGGAAAGATAAATGAAAGAAGGCGGATATATCCATTTAACATACAGTATCTATGTTTATTATAACATTTTTCTGCGTGTCAAAATGAAAGACAACCCACACACCTATCAATCATCAAACCGTGGGGTCTTAATTCATTACGTGTTGATTTCTATCAACGGGGGAGTACTTCAGGAAAGTCGACAGAGGGGGGGCGGCGGCGGCGGCGGCTAGTGGAGTACTTCGTGACCACAGAGTGTGAACGTTGTGATCAGCTGTTTTAGCGCAGTTCTCCAGTGAAGGGGGGGGGAGTCTCCCTCCGCAGCCGGTTGGCGTAGTTTTGTCACCATTCCGTTGTACAGACCGACGTTAACAGCAGCCCTGTCTGTGCACACGGAGACCGACTCTGTCGTCCGGTGATCTAACCGCCTTCTGGAAAAGCTTCACAAGTACGTTAGCGGTTAGATCAACAACATCCGGTTTCACTATGGGTGGTCGCATTTTCGAGAGCTCCGGCTTTGGCGGTTATTCCTCAAGATTTTTTACATATTTCATCCTCCTAACAATATGGATTATGGACTCCTACCTCAACTCATCAATGAGGCAACATCACTTAGAGAAGGAGAGTAATGAAAGCGGGGATAAAATGAACCACAATGACTTTTACCTTCTCAACGGCTGGGAAAGGAAACACCTCGCTTTTGGAAGTGCAAGCATTCATGCATTATTAACTGCAAACCCGACGCGAAAGTACTTACCCCCGTCAGGCAAACTAGACCGAAGAAGTATGATCGTCTTGGTCTTATTGTTAGCGGGAGACATCCATCTGAATCCGGGCCCGGTGCAGACAAGAAGCCAGTCCTGCAGGCTCGAGCAGCTAGCATCACAATTAGCATCAGAACTAGCATCTCTTCCGCTGCAACAACAACTACGCGACGACAACAGAGACCGTGGAGACAGCGGAGACCAAGGAATAAACGGAGACTTCGAGATTCCCCCGGGGACGCCTCGGCAGACAGACACGCATGAGGCAGTGACGAGAGGAAGAGAACCGAGATCCGAGGGAACAAATATCCGCCATGTTGTTAGCCACCCTGCTAGCATATCAACGGCTAAAGCTACAACGGAGCCTCCCTCCCCACACCACCACCACGACAAGCCGGTTGCTGTAACGGACAAAGACAAATATCTGCAAGCTGACGACATTGTGCATTTAAGCAACAAAAATGGACTACATATTTTTCATCTGAACACTAACAGCCTGAGACACAAACTGGCTGAACTCAGGCAGCTATTCATGAACGGTAAGGCAAGCATATTATGCTTTTCTGAGACCAAATTGGACAATTCCATTACAGATTCAGAGATTGAAATTGAAGATTATCTTGTAGTGAGAAGGGACAGGAACGTGAATGGAGGTGGTGTCTGCATGTACATACATAAAGACACCAATTTCAAAAACCGTACTGACCTGCATCATGAAAATATTGAATCTGTGTGGGTTGAAATTCTTTTTGACAATGCTAAATCTGTAATAGTCGGGACAATCTAGAGACCACCGGAACAGAGTGACTTTTATGATACATTAGATGGGTGTTTGGCTGATGTGGGGGATGTAGAGACAATTATTATTGGAGACTCAGTGTGAGGAAAAGTTTTTAGAGAGTACTTGTCCATGGACAAGTGAGTTTGGAAATGTACTTGTCCGAATACATTTTTCACTTGTCCATATCTATACTTTGTGCATGCATTGCTGCACCTATTTTAAATATGATTACATATCAACATAAAGCACACAAGAATCTAGGTTACTGTAGGAAACATTTTATTGTTTATTTGTTCATATTGTTCACAGTGTCTGGTTTCTGAACTTCTACCATCAAGGCACATCAAATGAATGACAGATATAAAATAATAAGATAAAACAACTAAGTACTAACAATATAATGTTTTCTCCTCTGTGGGACTAGTAGACATGCTAGCAGAAAGGTATGGCTTCAGGCTCAGGGTGGTTGTTCACTGCAGCTGTCTCCCGAACTGTGGGGCAGCACTCCAGTGGTTCTCCTCACACCGAGCTATGGGGCAACAGGCACAGGTAAGTTGCTGTTCACTGCAGCAGGCTTTGGGGGCAGCTTTGACATACCTCTTGGTCTTAGCAGATGTTTTCCATTTCTGGATGGCTGGCTCTGGGTCAAACTCTGCCACTGTGGTGGTGATGTGGCTGACCCTCATGAGTGACCCCAGAGTTTCATTGGTCATCTGGGATTTTCTGGATGTTTTTATGAGGTTCATGAGGGAAAATCCACGCTCCACGGCAGCAGAGGAGGGAGAAAGGGTGACCATCATGTACACCAGAACCAGGACGTCCTTCACATCTGGGTGGTTCTCAGTGAGAAGGTCACTTATGACCTCCTTGGCGGGCTGCCTCTGCCTGTACTTCAGTCTGGCCTTGAGAGCTGGCCACTGTCTAGGGATGTTGGTTACCTCCTCCTCACTGAGAACGGACTCGAAGTGGGTCACCATGTTCATAACCTGAACATCACCATATGTAGCTAGTTGTGCGTCTGATCTTGGGACGTTCCTGGGGTCAAGAACATGGAAATCACTGAAAGGGGTATCCTTCAGGAAGGAAAATCTCTTCTCTAGGAACTTCACACAATTCTCCAAGAAGGAATTCTTCACTGTTTCTGGAATACCTGTTCCTTTCAGTGAAGTGATGTGTCCATTGCTCTTACTGTCAAACTTGCCATCCTTGCAGGTTGCCATGTAGGCAGTGTAGACATCACCTCTATTATGCTTAAGGCCTTCCAACTTGATCCTGGCCTCACACAACTTTACATCAACATCATAAATGAACAGATCATTACTCTGGAATGCCAGACTCACGTTGGCCAACACTTCCAAGACATCTACCATAAAGTGGAGCCCATCAACAAACTTTGCAGACTTCAGTACCTTCAAGTACCCCACACACTTAGCTCCTTCGTCTGTTTTTCTGTTTGAAGCCTCTTCCATGTGTAGGATGACGGAGTTGTAATTTTTTATTACAGCCTTGTATGCCCGGAGTCTTGACGCCATCCACCTAGTGCCACAGGGTGCTGAGAAATAGACAGGATCCTCGTCTATAACGGCTGATATGGCGTTCACCTCCCTCCTACGTTTACCAGATCCATAGTAGAATCTGTAGATGGGGTCCACTCCTTTCTCTACGATGTCAATGAAGTCAGTGGCTTTGGTGGCATCTAGGAGCGACAGCTCCAGCTTATGTGGAGCACACCAAATCGAAATGAGCACATGCCCCAACAATTCCCGCAACTTCACAATAACTCCTCCCTTGGCACCTTGGTTAACGCTGGCACCATCAAATGTGCAGCCTATTATTTTTCTTCTTTATGTCTCCATCTGTTAGGTCGACATGATGTAGTGCCTCGAGGAGAGCTGCCAGAACACCATTAGCATCAGCTGACTTTACAGCCATGATGTCAATGAACTCTGTCGCTGGAAGTCCATCTTTGACATACCTGAAGATAGAAAATAAATAAAGTACATCAATAAAGTGCAATAACATTTTTTTAAATGATTATCTTATATAAACCTTCCCACACCAGTGTTGCCTTCACCTTTTTTTAAGACTAAGAACACTAAAAAGCAACTTCACCTTCATTCGCTTTAAACAATTTATGTATATACTTTACCTGTTAAAAACTTTTAAGTTAACTGAAAATTTAAACTAATAAAATTCATCAATAAAATGATTGTGAATTAATTACTCATAAACAAAAGGCCCTTTTGGAGATAAAATGTAACTTAAATAAGACTTACAAAAGAATTCAAAATAATAATTACCTAACATATACATTCTCCTGTTCTGTCACAGATATATCCGTGGATCCATCTCCCATCAGAGCGAAGAATCTTGAAGCCTTGAGGTCTTCAGAAACTCTGTCCTTCTCGACTTCGGCAATGGCCTGCACAAATGCCTTGCACCCCTTATCGTTCCGGTACTGTGTAGGCATTTTAATGCCATTCTTCTCTTGAAGTTCGATGAGGCCCTCAAATGAACGGAAAGGCAACTTTTGTTTGGCGACATAAAACGCAGTGTTGAACATGGGTTTCAGTTGGTCGTCCATATTTTCTGCCTGCTTCTTGAGAGCCACAAACATTGGCCCTGTGCCTTTCTCTGTGACCTCTTTCCTTTGAATGCAGAGAAGGTGATATTTGCTGGATTCGTGTGACTGAAGTGTCTCAATGCGTTTTGACCCTGTGACACCCTCGTACAGTTTACTGCTGTGGTCAGCAATGGATGGATATTCTCTGCAGACCTCACAGAACATGATGTCGTCCACACATCTTACCCATGGAAACTGGGTTTTCCAAGTCTCAATGAATGTTCTTTTCCTCTTGGGTGTCAGGGCGATGTCACTCTTGGCCTTTTTAGATGGACCAGCCATTGGTGAGATAACGGAACATGGCCTTTTAGCAGAGACTTTCTCGTGACTGGGGGGGCTATCGTTCTGCTCACACTCTGGGACTTTCTGAGGGCTCGTTTCAGCATGTTCAGGCTGTTGTTCAGACTCCTGTTCTTGCAGACAAATTATAGATTTTTGTCAACATGAATGTTAGGTACTCGTAGACTCCCCACAAACCTTTCTGCATTTTTTGGGGTTTTTTTCTGAAATAATTTGATATGCCCCTTTCAAGCCCCTTGGTACATAAAGAGCCCCTTTCAATCCCCCCCTTTTAAAAGAAAAAAGTATTTTACATAGGTCTACCCCTTTTTTATTATTATTTTTATTAATTTCTTATTTAATAGTTTTTCATTATTTTTATTTTTATCTTCGATTTTATTTTTGATTTGATGAACCTGTGTGAATCTGTGCTGTCCTGTTTTTCACCCTTACCCTGTTGCCTACTGAATTTCCCCACAGGGATTGTAAATCGCTTTGGATAAAAGTGTCAGCTAAATGCAATGTATTGTAATGGATTAATAAAAGTCCCCTTTCAAGCACTTAATCCACTATTTTCGGACATAATTTATTTCAATTATTTTCCTTGTTAATGTAACACACCATTTTACAACTGTGAGAATGATGTGTACAAACCTTCTTAGAAAAGAAAGAAATCTTTTGTTGCCCTCTTGGGGCCACTAGAACCTTCTTCTTCGCCATCGTATTTCATTTTCACACAGTTTTACGACACGACGTAAGTGAGTAAAAAAACGTAAAGCGGTTGCAAACAACAACGGCGGACACGGACAATTTGCGAATGAGTTATGCCTTTTGTAAGCTGAATTTATCAATAATTTGTCAATAAATAGCGGCGAAAAATGTCACTTGTCCATTGGACAAGTCAATTTAAAAATCTACTTGTCCAATGTTGTGAATAACCCGTCCCGGACGGTGGGACGTGCACTTTTTCGCACACTGAGACTGGAACACGGATATGCAACGTAAAGACACGTCCGTCTTCGAGTCCTTCAGTAGGATTTGTGATCTGCACGGCTTCAGCCAGCTAATCACCCAACCCACCCGGGTATGTGAAACAACACAAACTACCATTGATCTCATTCTGACCTCTGACAAGTCCAGGATCTCCAGTAAAGGGGTTATAGCATGCGGGTTAAGTGATCATTATATGATATTCTGTACCCGCAAAAAGCTAAAACAAAGGGCCGGCTCTCACAAAACAGTCATATCTAGAGACCTCAAAAACTACTCTAGCGAGGCCTTTAACCTAGAACTGGAGAGCCTGGACTGGTCAGATGAGCTCGGTGGTACACAAGTTGAAGAAACATGGCTTGGTTTCAAAAACAAATTCTCTGCAATACTCAATGATTTGGCCCCCCTAAGAACAACCAGGGTAAAAAATCGCGCTGAGCCGTGGATGGATGCACTCCGGCATACTGACCGCCATGAAAACCAGAGACAAAAAATGCTCTGAGTTTCATAAAAGTCAGTCAATGCTTTCCAAAAGCACGAGCAGTGAACTCCAGGCCCACGTGACTGAACTCAAAATTGAAAGAAACAGACTAAGAAATGACGTAAGCTCCATGATCAAAACTGCCAAAAAGAATTTCATCAATGTCAAAACTGAGGAAAACAAAAATAAACCCTGTGAACTTTGGAAATTACTCAATAACCAGCTTGGCTGCAGTAAAAAACTCAAAACGAGATTTTCTAACTTAAACATAAAGACAGATAACAGGCTCATCACAGACAAACTGGATGTGGCCAAGTACTTGAACATTTTTTTCACAAACATAGCCACAACTCTTGTAAATAAATTACCCTCCCACTCAGGGCTTTTTGGAGTAGATCACATCATGACCTACTACAAAAACCTAGGGGTACGCAAAGATGATTTCAGTCTAGCAAGGGTAACAACAGCAGAGGTACTCATTAAACTGAGCGCCCTCCAACCTAACAAGGCCACTGGCCACGACAATATCCCCTCCAAATTCCTCAGAGACACAGCAACCGCCATCTCACCAGTCATAGCTCACATAATTAACCTCTCCATAAAACAGGGAACAGTACCCAAAGACTTCAAAATTGCAAGAGTAACCCCCCTGCACAAAAAGGGCAGCAAATTGGACCCAGGCAACTACCGCCCTGTTTCTATACTTACCTCCATCTCGAAAGTCATGGAAAAAATAGTATATGAACAGGTCGAAAAGTACCTTGCGGAAAAGAAACTAATCTATGAATTTCAATCTGGCTTTAGAACATCCCACTCCACTGACACATGCCTTCTTTATTTGAGCGACCACATCAAACAAGAGGTGGACGAGGGCAAGTACTGCGGCATGGTGATGCTGGACCTACAAAAGGCTTTCGACACTGTCAATCACCCCATTCTGATTGACAAGCTAAAAGCAATTGGTTTTGATAAACTATCGGTGAGCTGGATGCAATCCTACCTGGAGGGGAGAGAACAGATGGTGGAGGTAAACGGTACTCTGTCCCCCCCCCCTCCCAGTGAGCTGTGGTGTTCCACAAGGAAGCATATTAGGTCCGTTACTGTTCCTAATTTATGTAAATGACATGTCATCAGCATGTGACTGCAACTTGTTCCTGTTCGCGGACGACTCAGCCCTGCTGGTCTCTGACAGGAACAGGTTGCAGGTTGAAAAAACCCTCAGCTCCGAGCTCGGCAGAATCTGCACCTGGCTCGCCGATAATAAATTATCATTACACCTGGGTAAAACAGAGTCCATTCTCTTCGGTTCGAAACATAATCTCAGCAAATCCGACGACTTCTCAGTTGCAGTGGGCGACATTATTGTCACAAGTAAGAAGGAAATTACATACCTAGGATCTATTCTTGAGGCAAACCTCTCCTGTGACAAAATGGCATCCAATGTAATAAAAAAAGTCAATCAAAGAACTAGATTCCTATACCGGATCTCCTCTCTGTAAACAAAAAACACCCTGAAGACTCTGGCAGGAGCACTCATTCAGGGTACTATGACCATGCTTGCACGTCATGGTACCATAGCACCTCCAAGGCGCTAAAAATAAACTTCAAACATCGCAAAATAAACTGGTCAGACTACTGCTTGACCTTTCATCTAGAACCCACCTCCCACTTTCATAAATGTAAGGACTACAAATGGCTATAAACATTCTGGGCTGGTTGGAGTAAACAGGGTTGTATTGCTCTGTGGGGGAGGTGTAGGTATGCAGGCCTTGAGACCTTTTGTTGGAAAGTGAGCCTGTTTGGTTTCCTGCTGCGTTTCCTGCTGCGTTGCGTCTCCCAATGAGATGACCTGAAAAGATGACCAGCTGACCTAACACCAAACCCCTCCTTCTTACTCTGGTATATATCCGGAGGATCCCTGGCGTTCGGCCTCTTCTTCACATGCTGCCCTCGGGTGAAAGTAGCTCTGCAGTATGCGGACCAGGGCAGGAGTAAGCCGGCATTACTCCTTAAGCATTACAATATAACTGTAATATATCATGTTGTATTGTAATGATTGTATTGCATTGTCATATTGCCATTAAAGTAGATTAACTGTTACTTTGTAGATATGGATTCCTTCCTGTATTATAACCAGCTTCATAGGAACGCGCGGAGATTTGAAAAGCGGACCAGATATCCCTCCAAATCCCCAACACCACTTTGACAACCTAGGATGGCTTAGAGTAGACGACAGAGTACAGCTACTTGCAATGGGCCTGGTCTACAAGATCCACTACACCTCTATGGTACCCATGTACATGTCAAAATTCTTCCCAAAGGTCAAGGAATACCATGATCATAACACCAGAGGGAGCTCCACAAATCATGTGAAACCCAGATTTGGCACAAAAAAGGGGGAATACACGTTTCGCAATTATGCCACATCAAGGTGGAACGCTCTTCCCACAACTGTAAAGGAAAGTAAAACTATACTTACCTTCAAAACCTCTCTTAAAGAGCACCTTCGGGGGAGAGCATTGCAAAACTGGCCCCGGTAATGGTACAAATCTCAACCTGTCGTTCAATGGACAGCTTCCCCCCCCCCCCATCTATGTATATACTCGCATTTTAGACTCTGTTACTAACTGTATATCTGTAGACTTGGTATGTCTTAAATGTCCGGTTAGGATGTATTAGAACGAAATCTAAAATGAAAATTGTAAATAAGCCATCTGTATGTCAAATATGTCTTATATGTCTTAAATGATATGATGAATTGGAAATGGGGGACCCTGATGTAAACAAGACGAAAGTCTTTCTCTGGTCTGCATCCCCTTAACAATTGTATGTTTTGAGCTGTACTGTACTGTACCCAATATACAAGCTGTTAATACACTTTTCAATCAATCAATCAAACGTCGGTACGCAAATGCGCTTTGTGACACAAGTGACGGTACGCATTTCAGAGAGATTACGCACATAACCTGCCTACCAGTTATGTGCACCCCTGTACTACAGCAAAAGTATTCTCCGTCGGGACTTCCTGCAACAACACCACGCCGTTATCAAAGATGTTCTATTGAGAAGACGATCACTACGTGATAAAAGTTTTCAAAACCGTGGCTACTGAAATCAATCTTACTAACTGCTGTCTGTGCAATTTACTCCGCGCGAGTTGGCAGACTTTATTTTGCTTACTTTAACATCATTTTTCATGGTGGGGCTTGTGGTGACACGTTATTGGACATAATTCACCTTGCTTATTGTGTTGCCACACGGACCCTTTAGTGGGGAACACCTGTAGCTTTAGCTGCCATTCCTGCTAGCTCATCAGGCAGAGCAGTGCATGTGTTAACCTCTCTGAAAGTAATGGATAATAAAGATTGGAACTCCATTCTTAATACACCGCCTCCGACTCTCTTTTCACGGCACTACACTGGTGACCCTGACTTTTCCGAGAAAGTTTCCGGAAAATTAACGAACATGGCTGAGCGCGATGTTTTCATAAAGCTGCCGGAATTCTGGGAGCACGCCGCGGAGGCACATTTCGCCTGCCGACAGGTCCGTGACGGGGACCTAAAATACTACCATGTGGT